GTGTGGTGTGTGTGTGTGTGTGTGTGTGTGTGTGTGTGTGTGTGGATAGGTGTGTGTGTGTGGAGGTGTGTGTGTGGATAGGTGTGTGTGTGTGGAGGTGTGAAAACAGATGTAGTTTATCGACAGCATGGAGACCATGCCCCATACCATCAAAATACCTCAGGAGGAAATAAGCATCTCAGTCAGTCAAACCAGAAGACAACCATCGACGTAATATACCCAAAAGCTTGCATACAGCTATGAAAGCAGAGTAAACAAAAGGGGCAGAAGACAGGAAAAAAACGGGTAGCTACGCGGGAGTCGCAAAAACGAGTTACAGTTGCACTATGGGGCAAGATGCAGTTTGCAATTGCACTTCGGGCACCCTACCTGGCCAGAAAACCGGGTTGTGTACAGTGCCCGAAGTGCCATTCGAAACTGTATCTTTTTTCTTTTTTTTTCCTCAACAGATTCTCATATATTTCAAACACTGTATCTTTTTTCTTTTTTTTTTCTCAACAGATTCTCATATATTTCAAACAATCCAATGGACGAGGCCGGGGATCGTCACAATTTCAACCCGGTGTTATCTCGGCAGCATCAGCCGGTTTGGCTTACTGAACATACTTTCATTAACCCATCAGAAATTCCGGAAATGTATTTACCATACTTGCAAGCAGACGGACCGGACGTCCGGTCCGGTCCGCTTTGCTGCGTGCGGAACCCTCCCCCCGGACCAGACGGACCCGGACCAGACCGGACGGGGCCGTTTTTTTTTTTGGGGGGGGGGGTGGGGCGTTCGACGACCGCACATTCGTGCGCCGCGTGGGTGCGGTCCGGCGGCCTGCTGCACGTGCAGAACCGCCCGGACGGCGTCCGCTTGCAAGTATGGTATTTGCCCTCTCTCCATACAACCCGCGTGGGTGCGGTCCGGCGGCCTGCTGCACGTGCAGAACCGCCCGGACGGCGTCCGCTTGCAAGTATGGTATTTGCCCTCTCTCCATACAACTGTGTTCCAACTGCTACTGCTATCTAGTCCCTCTTGCCCTCTCTCATCGACTGCTTTTATACCTAATACGCAGACCTATTACACGGTCTGACGCGGCCCAAAGGCGACCGAGAGGAACTTCGTTTTTTGAAGGATAAAAATCGGCACTCTCCTACCCTCCCTGATCCATTGCAGGCTATTGCACCTGCCGACTGGAACCGAGTGCACCTGGTTCATATCCCAGATCTACCCTAATCTTCTGCTAACGCATATCTACCCCTACCCTATTCACCTATTCAATATCCAACTACACACAGCCAAATTCCCTTCTGGTGCGAAACTGTATCTTTGCCCATAGTGCACTTATAACTCATTTTTGCGACTCCCGTGTTGTTTACCTTTAAAAAAAAAAAAAAAAAAAAAAAAAGTGCGAGACTGAAAAAAAAAAAGAAATACAGGAAAAAACACAAGGTTGATGACAAACTGTTTTGGCGGACTTGCGCGCACTCGTTGGGGGCCTGGACCCCCAACAGTCTGTGGAATCCCCATATTGAGGTTTTGAGTCATGATCTCCTTTAACCCCTGTTGAGAGTGGACGGCCAGCAGAGGACATCACAAGCAGCAAGGCAAGGGTGAGGCAACAAGGCACTGCACAACAGGCGAACAATGCAAGGCACGTGGGCTGGAGGGCATGGGAGAGAGGTGGGTGGGCAGCTAAACAACTACCGTCTTCCCCCGAACACAACGCACCGTCTTTGGCTGTATCTGCCCGGAAATATAGCTTGTATACATTCGTTTTTAGGGTGTGTTGTGTTCGGGGGAAGACGGTAGGCTGGAGGGCACGGGAGAGGTGGGTGGGCAGCTAAACAACAAGGGAAGCAGTGGGCAACAGGCAGCAAGGCGAAAGGCAGGTCAGCAACTAGCAGCCAAACGACAAGTCAAGAGCGCAGAACGACAACGCAGCGAGGCAGATGGGAGTGCGGGCAACAAGGCAGCAGAACACAAAGACAGTGAGGGAACGACGTGCAAGGCACAGGGCAGTGAAGTTAAAAGCAGCAAAGCAAAGTGCAGGGTGGCAGAAGGCGGCGAGGCTGTCAAACCTCTGGCTGGCCAGCAAAGTTGGTCAGACCTGTGTGTGGTCACACACACACTGAACGCACACCCTTGTAATCGTGTCCGTTCCGACAACGAAAAGACTAAGTAGCAAGGAAAAAGGCAGTGCCGGCAACAAGGCAGCGAGGCATGAAGGCAGTGACTGAACTGTGCGCAAGGCACAAAGGCAGTGAAGCTAAAAGAAGCAAAGGTGAAACGAAGGGCGGCGAAAGGCAGCGAGGCAAAACACAGGGGGGCCACAAGGTACAGCAAGGCAAAAAGCAGCAAGACGAAAAGCAGGGAGGTAAAAGCAGCAAAGCAAACGGCAGCTGAACAACTTGGCAAGAGCATGGAAAGACAAGGCAGTGAGGTGAAAGGCAGGAGGCAAAGTGGAGAGAGAGAGAGAGAGAGAGAGAGAGAGAGAGAGAGAGAGAGAGAGAGAGAGAGAGAGAGAGAGAGAGAGAGCAACAAGGAGAAAGCCAGCGAGACAAAAACGTAGCGAGGCAAAAGATAGCACGACAAAAGTAAGCCGAATGACAAGGCAAGAGCATGGAAAAAAAAGGCAAGTGGATGGGTGGCAAGGCAGAAAAGCATCACAGATAAGAAAGTCTACATGGCCAACACGGACCTAAGCAGCCCATCACATACTCACACCACAAGTAGAACCCCCCAGACTGTTTGGTTCCCACCACCCTCAAGAGCCAGGAAGGCCACTTTTATGAACGCCGTGTGTTATCACCCACGGAACACCCAGATGCAAACATCCCGAACAAGGCAGCCGCCGTAACAGTGTTGCAGGCAGTCCAAACAGACAAGCGCGGACTATTTGGCACTTGTTAGAGATGCTTATGTAAACGTAGAAGATAAGGTACTTAGAGGAAAAGAAGGCAAGAACTTATGCATACATACGATTGTGTGCATGTTTTGAATTTTCACCACAACAACTCCTATTCCACCCTCAGATGAGTTGATCCAAAATCGAAGCATCTTTATAGTCCTATTGCGGACAGCAAAAAGATTTGTCGAGTTGAGACAAAACCAACAATGAACCAGTTACCTTCATAGCAAGCAACACGGAGCAAAATAGAAGCATTTGATTTAAATAAATCTCTTTCTTAAACCATCGGTACCTACCGCATTTTCCGTACCGCCCTGGGTTGAATGAATATGGACCTGAGGGGCAGACCGATTCAGCTGCCGCATTAACGGCCGCAACAACCGGTAGGTACTGGTGGTTTAACCTTTCTCGCTCTTTTTTGGTTACCCATGTTATTTGTCCTTGCAACTCGCTTTTACTCTGACCGGCCTCTCGTGTACATGGCTCGCCATGTTGATTGTGGTTGAGCGCGACCTGCCCACATCCCCTTGTAGCACATCGGCCCACTCACAGATTATGATAGGAGGCGGAGTAAAAGCGGAGGTATATTCTTGTTCATTTTTCCTCAGATCTTCAGCTTATATTTTGTGTGTTCTCTTAAACCACCAGTACTTGGCCCAGCTATTGAAGGCGAGCCTGAATATGCCCTGCGCGCCGATTTTTGCCGAGCCTGCAGTGAATGGGAAAAAATACGGGACATTTGTTGCTTCAAGCAGGTGTCGCCCCTTATGCTGGACCTGCTGCCAGCAGATGGACGTAAACAGGCCGTCGATGTCTTGTTTCCACTCAGGTGGCACCCGAAGCCTCGCCAGGAGGGCAGCCAGTGCGAAAGATCTTCTTCTTCAAAAAAAAAAAAAAAAAAAACGGTGAAAAGGGAAACCAAGCTATGCACTCACATGACGCGTTTTACATCTAGATACATTTGGGAGAGTGTGAACGTTACACTGCCAGGCATTCAATGCTCCCCGTGTCCAACGGGGAGTCAGATCACGAAGTGCCAACGATCTTCTTCAGAAAAAGCAAAAAAAAAAAAAAAGGTGAAAAGGGAAACTAAGCTATGCACTCACGTGTTGCGTTTTACGTCCAGATACATTTGGGAGAGTGTGGATGTTACACTGCCTGGCATTCAATGCTCCCCATGTCCAACGGGGAGTCTGACCACGAGGTGCCAACGATCTGCGTCCAGATACATTTGGGAGAGTGTATAGTAGTCTGCTCCAGTGGGGTGAGCATTTGGTACCCTGTGAGAACTCCACCTCCTATTTCCTTCCTCCCTCCTCTTCTCTACTACTCGTATATGCATGCCGATGAGCATAATTAAACCACCAGTACTTGGCCCATACATCGGCCCCGGGCCATTAGCGTTAACTTGAACGCTACGCGTTTCACGCGCTTCGGCAAAGGCTTGGCATGGCAATGGGGGAGGGAGCTGGTGGCCCCATGGAGACGGGGCAAGAGGACTGCACGATGTCCTGGTGGTGTGCTATGTGGAAACGCACGGACACTGAAATCAACGAGGGGAAAAACAGAAACGAAAAGGAGAAAAAAAAATACGAAGCAGATCGTTGGCACCTCGTGGTCAGACTCCCCGTTGGACATGGGGAGCATTGAATGCCAGGGTCCACCCCATGAAGCCGGTTTGAAGACCTTGCCACCCCTGAATCTGCAGTTCTTTGACATTGTATTTCTGCCTTGGGCACTGCGCCCTGATAAAACTACTGTTTCTGAAAAGAAAAGAAAAAACAAAACAAAACGTGCTCGTCCCACTCACTATTTTGTTTTTTTTTCTCTTTTCAAGTTTTATTTTCACTTGATTTCGGGGCCTAAACAATTTTATCCACATGAGCGCAAACCTTGCTGGAATTCAGCGCAGAGCTAGCGCTCTCAGACCCATTCACTGTACTAAATCCCGGAGACCCAGGTTTCACTTGGATCTCCCACCGTTTCCGAGACAGGCAGCTGGTGACCAGAAGACGCCTGGATTACTTCCTGTTGACAGAACAAGTAATGGACCGAGTCACAGCGGTTCGCCAAATCTGCAATCCCATCTCTGACCACAAGCCAGTGATGGCAGACATCCGGCTACATTTGGGTATTGAGAGAGGCAGAGGGTTTTTCAGAGTGAACAGCCAAATCTTAGAGACCCCAGGAGTGAAAGACTGGGTCTCAGACCATTTATCAAGATGGGAAAGTACAAGGAACTTGTTCGACTCCACTGCCGAGTGGCTGGATGGCGGCATCGCCATCGCATCCGGAGTGCTAGATGTCATCTCACAGATCCTGGCCAAGTCAAGAAACAAAGAGGAAGCGGAATGCAAAAGGAGAGTGGAGGAGGCAGAAGAACGAATGGAAGGGCACCCCATCTCAATGATGGTGTGGGCCGCAGAAAGGGAAAAGAGAATGGCGGAGTGGGACAACATTCAGGAGAGCAAACAGAAGAGGTGGCTAGAGCTGTTGAAGGAAAAGAACATCGAGACAAATGACAAGATGTCGAAGGAGACCTTTCAAAAGTTACTCCCTAAACGCATGCAGCAACAGATGGTGGAGCTCAAGCATCCTTTCGATGAGTCCGCTCCGGTGGCCTGCTCAACACAAGGCATGCTCCAATATGCAAGGATGTACTACGCTGATATTCTCACTACTAGGAGACCGCAGGATGATGTGCTCACAGACCTCTCAGCGGATTCAGACATGTGGGACAGTACCTCTGTCAAACTTCAAACCACAACAAGGCTAGACCTAGACAGACCAATCACACTAGAGGAGGCGTCACAAACACTGAAGGTTATGGCAAGGGGCAAATTACCAGGGGTTGATGGGCTGACAGTTGAATTCTACGCAGCGAACTGGGGAGCGTTTGGCCCCTTACTAGTAGAACTTTACAACAAAGTCCTGGTAGGGGGTAAACCGGGGAAAGGCATGACTCATGGAGTGATTGCAGTGCTCTTCAAGAAAGGCGATAAGACAGAACTCAAAAATTGGCGTCCCATTTCACTTCTGAACGTCTCATACAAGATCTTGGCCAAGACCTTAGCGCGTATACTTTCCAAGTTCCTCCCAGAGCTGGTAGAGCAGGACCAAGGGGCCTTTGTAGAAGGTCGGTCTATATTTAATAATATAGTCACGGCCATAGAGACTCTTGAGGTAGTGCAGGAAGAGAGTTTGGACACGACAGTTCTACTACTAGATTTAGAGAAGGCCTACGACAAAGTGGGTTGGACCTTCGTCCTCACCACTTTGAGGAGGATGGTGTTTGGAGACAGTTTTTGCGTGTGGGTTATTGCAATGTACACATTCTCCTCTTCGGCAGTAATGGTTAATGGACACCTTTCAAGGTCATTCCCATTATCCCGGTCCCTGCGCCAAGCGTGTCCTTTTGCCCCACTGCTCTTCGTACTACAAATGGAAGTCTTGCTCAACAACATCCAACGACACCCGAACATCAGAGGGTTGCAACTTCACAACGGAAAAGAGTGCAAAGTGAACGCCCTGGCCGACAATTTGTTCGTGATCAGCGAGAACACTGTCCGCTCGATGCAGACACTCAAGACAATGATGTGTGAATATTCAATGATGTCGGTCACAATCAACTGGAACAAATCATCCTGTTTGTTGTCAGCTCAATCCGAATTGAAGGTGGAATGGGGCATGAAGAGAGTGAAGAGAGGTGACGAAGAAAGGTTTCTGGGTATTTTGGTCAGCCTGCAGATAGATGTGTCCTCCCAAGGGCCCATCCTACAACAGAGGATTGCGGCGCGACTCAGACTGTGGGAAACAGCGTGGCACCTGTCCTTGATTGGTAGAGTGTTGGTCACAGTGTGACGCTGTTCTCTATCATATGGTTTGTCACATCGGTCAGGGAGCTCGCAACAGGTATATTGAAGGTTGTTATGAGGCTGGCTGCACGGTTCATATGGAAGCCTAGAGCGCTAAGTAATGAGGGGTTTGTATCCAAAGTAGCCTTTGACACACTCACCTTTCCACGGAGCAAAGGGGGCCTAGGTCCACTGGATCCGGCTCGAAGGAATTAGGCTCAACTCCGAAGTTGGATAGCAAAAGTGGATGCAAGAGACTCATCGGAACACTGGATAATACTGACAAAACGTATCCTGATGAAAGCCTGGAAACTAAGAAGAGCAAAGGATGTATGAGCATGTTTCTTCATTCCTTTCTTCAGGAAAAAGCGACTGAAATCCTGCTTTTGGGACGCAGTACGCAAGGCCTGGAAGAACCTTCCCACAGATGAACAGCGGGTCCCTTCAACCAAGGAAGAAGTGTTATGCCAAATATTGTTCGAAAATCCAAAACGGAACACCGCTGACAGCAGATGGAAGGGCAGGTTCATTCGGACAAGCCTGGGTAAGGCGGGGGGTAGCTCGAATCGAGCACCTTTGGTCCACAACTCTCGGCAACTGAAAAACGTTGTGGAAAGTAAAGGAGGCTCTGAGAGGACTGCAGAGGGTAGAGGAACATTGGAGGCAGGTCATAGAGGCAATGCCACAGGATTGGATGGATCTGCCGGGTCCGCTGGGAGTCGACCCCACGGATACGTGGTACATCTCGGAGCAGGAGTCGGAAGGCAACGTCCTGTGGAAGCTGATGAACTGTTACCCAGTGGGTTTCGGAAGGTAGAGAGATGGCGTAGCGAAGGGCCGTCGAACACCCTGGCTCTGCTAGGAGAAAAAACGATCAGAGTATGGGATAATCCGGCACAAGTCCGTGTGGTGGAGGCAAAGAACAGGGGCCCCACTACCCAGGTTCTGGTTCTGAACTAGGTGGGCAAGTCTCCCCTACGACAGTTGTGCATCGATCCCCTGGCCTGGGGATGGAAGGAGAAACAGCAAGGAGTGCCAGCCTAAGCCTGATGGACTACTCGGTGTCATATGGCTATCAGTTATCTCAGGCGCAGCTGGAAAAGCCAGCGCAGATTGCAGTACCAAGATGGTAGGCTGTGTGGAACGGAGACCTATTAGCCGCAGAGCCTGAGTTTGAGAAACTGTGGAAAACCTTATCCTCTCTTCCGAACGGGAAACAGGTGAGCATCCTTTGGTTACTTTCCCTTATGGTGACGCCCTCGGCGGTTTGGTTGACAAGTAAGGGGATGGAGGTCAATCTGGGCTGCACAAGGTGCAGATGGCCCTTCGAGTCTACCAGACATCTGTGGTGGGACTGTCCAGCCGCGAAGAGGGTGTGGAACTGGTGGGCCCACCACTGAAGAGACTTTGGGGGGCAGCAAGTGGTCTGAGAGGAGAAATGGGTTCTTTTGGGCTTTCTGCCAACTAGAGTGAGTGGGCTCCGGAGATGGGGCTACATAGCTCATGTGATAAGGGGTCTGATATGTGAGATCATCTGGACGGACAGAAACAGATCTCGTTTTCATAGGAAGCCCCTCTCAGACGCGGAAATCAAAAGGCTCTTTAAGCAAGGGTTGAGGCAAGCTATCCGGGAAGACTGGAGGAGAAAAGTTGGTGCAAGTAGAGGAAGTGCGAATCAGCTCCAGTGGTTCCGCAGCACCTGGGCAAAGCTGCACCAAATTGTGGAAATTCACCCAGCGAAGGGACTGATTTTCTAAAGCTGGGTGATGGAGGCCAAGAGCACAGGGTAAATAGGCAGTGGTAGTACAAACCAGGACACTCGGTTGTGTAGGGTCGAGATAGACCGTTAGGAGAGTGCCTATAGGTGTAGGTGTAGGAATAGGACCGCAGGCCGGTCCTCTGGGCCGTGTTAGTCCCAGAAACAGAGTTAGCTCATAGTCTACTTTCGCAGGTCCCTCTTCAGAAATTATGCAGGAAGTGCTACTCTTTCAGATGTATACAGTGTTCCTGACAAAGTAGTAAATAGAGGCTTAAGAGACTGATTCTTATGATGGACATAGCAAGTTAAGAATAGGAATATCTACTGCAAGGTAAACTAAAGTTCATTTGAAGAACTTCGCAGGTCTTCCACCTGTAAGCTAAGCTGGCTGATACTGTCAGATACCCCGGGTTGATTTGTGAGGTCCCCGGCCTCGTAACACACTGAGTAATGAATTAAGTACTGATTTGAAAGAAAAAAAACTAAAAAAAAATGATTTTTTTTGTTTTGTTTTGTATCATGTGACATACAGATGTATTAAGTTTCAGGGCATTTGACTAAGCCAAAAAGAAATAAAAAGTCGCCAAAGATGGTGGTGTCAAAAACGTACTCGCCCACTCGCTAATTTTAATTCTCTTTTCATTTTTTCAATTGGCGCACTCCACCAGAAAAACATTCATTATGAATTACCTGGCGCCCATCACTTCAATGATGATATTTTTCTCTTCTTTTTTTTAACCTTTTTGACTAATGTGTATGTTTCTCTCAATTTCATCTTTCATTACCTACCTGCCAGTACTCCTAAGCCTATACAGGGGCCCCTGCAAGCCTAGCTACCTCTCACATTCAAGGGGATGCATAGTGGCCCCCTGCCGTAATTGGTGGCGGTCAGGGAGTGGGGTGGGGCCGTCGGTGGCGAGGCGTGACTAGCATAAAGACTGAGCATTTTGCCAGTAGCTGCACTCCCATCTACTGCCCTCCCCCCCCTCCCCCCCCCCCAATCAAGTAGCAGCAGTTCACACATGCAAACACACCTGTGATGGCCAAAGACCCTGCCAATAGTGGGGAGCAAGCCAACTATCTCAGTTGGTTGGCACCAGTCGCGCCCCACGTGGTCAGGAGGGGTTGAACCCACGACCTCCTGAGTGCCACTGGTGTGCCTAACCAACTGACCTACGCAACTTTCCCCCTGTGATGATATCTCAAGCCCGTCGCAAAAAAAACAACAAAAAATGTTAAACCACCAGTACCTTTTCCAGCTATTTTTTTCAGAGGCCCGCCGGGTAACGCACTGGCCTGAAACGGAAGGGAAGCCGCTGACAAATTGAATCGGCGGTCAGTCTTGATTTTTGGGTCGGCGCGCAGTTCCAGCGGCCAACATATGGGAAATGTACTGGCGGTTTAAGCAGATCAAGGCCTGGAGCAGATCAGTTTGATGATATCCTCAAGGCTGTTGCTGTTTTTTCAAAGAAAAAAAGAAATTAGAAATTGGGGGGTACCCTGGAGTTTGCATATTTGCTCCGGCACCCTACAGATCATTATTATTTGATCATACACCCCTCTGATGGGGGTCCGAACTTGTGGAAAACCCAAATCCATGTTTGGGCATGCGAGCTTTTCATGCGAGCTTTTCCCATCTGCCGGTGTAGAGCCCACCCAAGTTCGTCCCAATGTTCCTGGGTAGGGTGGCTGCCCAAGTTCGTCCCAGCGCTCCTGGGCAGGGTGTCTGTTACTGGGCGTCGCTGTTACTGAGGAATTCATGAGGTAAAAAAAAAATTACCAGTACCTTTCCCCGCCCAAGTTTATCAAATACGTGCCGGCTCGTTTCTTTTTGGTGCGCAGGGCGATTCAGGCTCGACATCGATAGCTGACAAAGGTAATGGTGGCGTAAACCACCAGTACTTGGGCCAGCTTTCGGCCGCGGAAAAAAAATGAGTAGAATCGTTTCTAGTTGGATGAATTTGGGCACTCCTGTAGTGTCCCGTACGTTTCCCAAAATTGTGGCGCGTTAACGGGCACGACTTTAGGAAGTACTGGTGGTTTAAACAGTGAGGACTCGGACGCGATGAACCAGCTTCTGTACCCAAACGATCTCTTGCAGCCCCGAGTTTTTCTAGTTCCTCCTCCTCACCTCTCTCTTGGGCTTTTGGGGTACCCCTCCTTTGCTATCACCTTAATGCACAAAATTGCCGGCCAACCAGGCCCTCTCACGACTAAAACGATGCTTTTCCTTTTTAACTTCTTTGCAATTTCTTTTAGGCGATGCATGCATCTATGTAGGAATTATGCGCACCTTAGCGAGCGCGCGAGGAATTTTGTTGCAGAAGCGGTGCCCCTGAACGTTGCGTTTCAGTCACGGTGCCACAATTCTTTTTCTTCAAGCCTGAATCGGACTAAGAGTCCTTCTGTAAAAGGTTTAAACCACCAGTACCTTTCTCAGCTATGGTTGCCAAGCCTAAAATGCACCTGCATGTCGAAAAAACAAAAGAACCTACGCGTCACTAGTTTTGGCTGGCCTCACCAGCCATTTCTGGCTGGCCTCACCAGCCATTTAGCGTCGGTACATCCGAACCTGCCCGCCTCCCGTGTTAACCGGCGGGCATTTGTTTTTCAAGAGGGCAAAGGTACGGGTGGTTTACGGACGTGAGTTGGGTTGTCTAGGCTCAAGTAAAATGTCACCATATGCGGGAATGTGCTCTGGCCGTCAGCCCTTTGTTTTGTGTGTCAAATTCAATACATGTACATCTACAGAAGAGTTTACGCACAATGGGTTATTAGAACCATGCATTATGAAAAGTACAACATGAGGAAAACCGTGAATGTATCCAACCCAGCTTTAGGGTTGGGTGGGGATGCTGTATTCGAGGGATGCCTGAAGTGGATTTCGAACTGCGAACGTAACTGTGTCATAGTCACCCCAATAAAAAAAAGAACGAGCAGGCGCCCATTCATCGTTTACCAGCCCGCAGCAGGGGAAACATAGCGGCTCGGAGCCACTGGTGGTTTACGCCCAAATTCTCAAACGAACTCAGCCCAAATTGAGAAATTCAGCACCGATTGGACGATTTGGTACCACCGGTACGGCCGCGCATGGAGGCACGGCACTGCACTGCACGCCAAGCTTTGCCTAACTGCCAGCAGCACACTTTTTTGTCTTTTTCGGCTGGTGCCGCCAGCTATCGCGGTCTGGTAGGCCCGAGCCGCGGAATATTTGTAGTAGCGACAAAGACAAACATATTTCTGCAAGGCAGGGGCCATGTACTGGTGATTTAAGGGCCCGACCTGTGCAGCTGAATGATACTCACATCTACCTGTTAGGCGACATTATCAAAAGGAGTCAAGTTCACATCCTGACTGGGTCTGGTCCATACAACAATCTAGGGGCTACCCGCTTTTACCCACAACAAAACAAAAAAGGAAAATCGTCGGTCGAGTCCGAGGAGGCAGTTTCCTAGGAAAGAACCGTAGGATAGCCTATCAGCATAAATGTCCACCCAGCCACCCGTTCCATCTACCCGTCGAATCCCCCATATACCCATCCACCCACCCACCGCTCCATCCCTCCATCCCTCCATGCATCCACCCATCCATCCCATCCAAGCCATCCATCCATGCATCCATCCCCCATTCCCATCCCCCATCCCCATCAATGTATTAGATCCCTTCCCATTCCACCAATCCCACCCATCCAACCCATCCCATCGTTTGGGGCGCTGATGCATCATGGGCACAATGTGGTTTCAATAGCAGACGACCGGCCTTGTTATGATGTAGCTTGAGTTTGTGGGAGGATGCTAATCTGTGGGCTCAGACACCAAGAAACATTACTTGCTTACACTCGACCCTTTCTCCTGGGTTGGAGGCATGAAACACATCACATGAAACAGTGCCAATCTCTCTCTCTCTCTCTCTCTCTCTCTCTCTCTCTCTCTCTCTCTCTCTCTCTC